CATCAAAAATTGAATTATTGGGGTTCTTTGATATGCCAAATCTAACCGTGATTTTAGATTTTTAATTTGGGTCCCGTTTTTTAAATTGGTCTTCATTGAGGTCCAAAGGGTCCAAAATTAAATTTAGTTTGATTTTAACAAAAATTGAATTCTTGGGGTTCTTTGATATGCTGAATCTAAACATGTGTTTAGATTTTTGATTATGGGCCCTGTTTTCAAGTTGGTCCAAGTTGGGGTCCAAAATTAAACTTTTTTTGATTTCAACAAAAATTGAATATATCGGGTTCTTTGATATGCTGAATCTAAACATGTATTTAGATTTTAGATTTTTGGCCCAGTTTTCAAGTTGGTCCAAATTGGGGTCCAAAATTAAACTTTGTTTGATTTCAACAAAAATTGAATATATGAGGTTCTTTGATATGCTGAATCTAACCATGTATTTAGATTTTTTATTTGTGGACCCCACTATCAAATTGGTTCATATTGAGGTCAAAAGGGTCCAAAATTAAACTTTGTTTGATTTCATCAAAAATTGAATTATTGGGGTTCTTTGATATGCCAAATCTAACCGTGTATTTAGATTTTTAATTTTGGGTCCTGTTTTTTAAATTGGTCTTCATTAAGGTCCAAAGGGTCCAAAATTAAACTTAGTTTGATTTTAACAAAAATTGAATTTTTGGGGTTCTTTGATATGCTGAATCTAAACATGTGTTTAGATTTTTGATTATGGGCCCAGTTTTCAAGTTGGTCCAAGTTGGCGTCCAAAATTAAACTTTGTTTGATTTCAATAAAAATTGAATATATGGGGTTCTTTGATATGCTGAACCGAAACATGTATTTAGATTTTAGATTTTTGGCCCAGTTTTCAAGTTGGTCCAAATTGGGGTCCAAAATTAAACTTTGTTTGATTTCAACAAAAATTGAATATATGGGGTTCTTTGATATGCTGAATCTTACCATGTATTTAGATTTTTTATTTGTGGGCCCGCTATCAAATTGGTTCATATTGAGGTCAAAAGGGTCCAAAATTAAACTTTGTTTGATTTCATCAAAAATTGAATTATTGGGGTTCTTTGATATGCCAAATCTAACCGTGTATTTAGATTTTTAATTTTGGGTCCCGTTTTTTAAATTGGTCTACATTAAGGTCCAAAGGGTCCAAAATTAAACTTAGTTTGATTTTAACAAAAATTGAATTCTTGGGGTTCTTTGATATGCTGAATCTTAATATGTGTTTAGATTTTTGATAATGGGCCCAGTTTTCAAGTTGGTCAAAGATAGGGTCCAGTATTAAAACTTTGTTTGATTTCAACAAAAATTGAATATATGGGGTTCTTTGATATGCTGAATCTAAACATGTATTTAGATTTTTGATTATGGGGCCCAGTTTTCAAGTTGGTCCAAATTGGGGTCCAAAATTAAACTTTTTTTGATTTCAACAAAAATTGAATATATGAGGTTCTTTGATATGCTGAATCTAACCATGTATTTAGATTTTTTATTTGTGGACCCCACTATCAAATTGGTTCATATTGAGGTCAAAAGGGTCCAAAATTAAACTTTGTTTGATTTCATCAAAAATTGAATTATTGGGGTTCTTTGATATGCCAAATCTAACCGTGATTTTAGATTTTTAATTTGGGTCCCGTTTTTTAAATTGGTCTTCATTGAGGTCCAAAGGGTCCAAAATTAAATTTAGTTTGATTTTAACAAAAATTGAATTCTTGGGGTTCTTTGATATGCTGAATCTAAACATGTGTTTAGATTTTTGATTATGGGCCCTGTTTTCAAGTTGGTCCAAGTTGGGGTCCAAAATTAAACTTTTTTTGATTTCAACAAAAATTTGAATATATGGTGTTCTTTGATATGCTGAATCTAACCATGAATTTAGATTTTTTATTTGTGGGCCCCGTTATCAAATTGGTTCATATTGAGGTCAAAGGGTCCAAAATTAAACTTTGTTTGATTTCATCAAAAATTGAATTATTGGGGTTCTTTGATATTCCAAATCTAACCGTGTATTTAGATTTTTAATTTTAAGTTCCGTTTTTATACGACCGCAAAAAAATTTTTGTGGTCGTATATTGGTATGACGTTGACGTCGTCGTCGTCGTCGTCGTCGTCGTCGTCGTCCGGCGTCGTCGTCCGAATACACATTAGTTTTCGCACTCTAACTTTAGTTTAAGTGAATGGATCTCAATGAAATTTTACCATAAGGTTCAATACCACAAAAGGAAGGTGGGGATTGATTTTGGGGGTTATGGTACTAACAGTTAAGGAATTAGGGGCCAAAAGGGGCCAAAAATAAGCATTTTTGTAACTTCCAGACATAACTTGTGTGTAAGTGTATGGATCTCTCTGACATTGTACCACAAGGTTCCATATCACAAAGGGAATGCTGGGATTGATTTTGGGGGTAATTGCCTCAAAATTTTAGGAATTAGGGGCCAAAAAGGGGCAAAAAACAAGCATTTTTCTAGTTTCATGACAATAACTTGTTTGTAAGTGTATGGATCTTTATGAAATTGTACTACAAGGTTCCATATCACAAAGGGAATACTGGGATTGATTTTTGGGGTAATTTCCTCCAAATTTTAGGAATTAGGGGCCAAAAAGGGGCAAAAAACAAGCATTTTTCTAGTTTCATGACAATAACTTGTTTGTAAGTGTATGGATCTTTATGAAATTGTACTACAAGGTTCCATATCACAAAGGGAAGGCTGGGATTGATTTTGGGGGTTTTCCCTCAAAATTTTAGTAATTAGGGGCCATAAAAGGGCAAAAAAAACATGCATTTTTCTAGTTTCAGGACAATAACTTGTGTGTAAGTGTATGGATCTTTATGAAATTGTACTGCAAGGTTCCATATCACAAAGGGAAAGCTGGAATTGAGTTTGGGGGTAATTGCCCTAAATGTTTAGGAATTTGGGGCCAAAAAGGGGCCAAAAAACAAGCATGTTTCTAGTTTCCAGACAATAACTTGTGTTCAAGTGTATGAATCTCTCTGAAATTGTACTGCAAGGTACCATAACACAAAGGGAAAGCTGGGATTGAGTTTGGGGGTGATGAATCATAAGGGGGTTGAAAAAGTTGGGGGGGATTTTTTTTTTCCTTTTTTTTCTTTAACATTTTCCATTTTAAATTGGTTATTTCTGATTTATATATAAAAGCAAATAATAATGATATGGTTTGAATAGGCATACATGTGAACCTCCCGACGGGAGTACAATAATCCCGTTTTCAGGGGTCTCCTCCCGACCTCCTGTTGAAGAGGAAAAAATCCCGTGTATGAAATTTTTCATGAATGAAAAATTTCTGCCCAACATATCATCTCAGGCATCTGGTGTAACTGACATTACCTGAAGTTATATTTTACCTGTAAATCAATTAACATGCATATTTATATGGCTTCACTTGTCAGCTTGGGTGTCAAACATACTGGTAATCAACGATTTTTACCTCAGGCTAACTGCCGTTGTGTAACAAAAACTGTGTATTTATTGGGTTACTTCCCTTGATTTATCCTGTTTTAAGTTACTTTCCTTTTAATAATGAAAATTTTTAAAAGAATATAAATAAAATATAAATTGAACAAATAATCATAAAAGGATGGTTATTAAATGATTTTAAATGTCTTAGGACAAATAAAAAAATAATAATTTGAAAATTATTTGAGGATTCTATACTTCCTTTCAAGGCTTAAATTGAAATTTATATAATAACTATGACCCTAATTTTACAGATAGAATGATTTTCTGAGTTTGCAAATAAAAACTATTTGCAAGAGAAAAAAATAAAAAATAAAAACTATTTGCAGATAGCTAAACAAATGTTCTGGTTGCAATGATTGTTTTATAGAATATGAAGTAAAAAATTTAATGAACATACTGGAAAAAAACAATGTTAGATTGAACATGTAGAATATAAAGATGGAGAAACTTTATAAGTACAAGGGTACTATAAACATAATAAATTGGATGGAAAGTTGAAGAAAACACACTTTAAAAGACCATTTTTACAGCACACGGTTACATTTACAACAAAATTAATGTCGATTAAAAACCTCCTGATCTGAGTCCTAATCTCCTTACCAAAATTTCCCAATCTCCTGATCTGAGTTTCACAGTCCATCACATGTATGAATAGGTAAATTGAAAATTTTTAAGTTCTTAGACCACTTTCATTCTGTGTCAGAAACCTATGCTGTGTCAAATATTTAATTACAATCCAAATTCAGTGCTGTATCAAGCTTGAATGTTGTGTCCATACTTGCCCCAACTGTTCAGGGTTCGACCTCTGCGGTCGTATCAAGCTGCGCCCCAGCGGAGCATTTTATTTAAATTGGTCTACATTAAGGTCCAAAGGGTCCAAAATTAAACTTAGTTTGATTTTAGCAAAAATTGAATTCTTGGGGTTATTTGATATGCTGAATCTAAACATGTGTTTAGATTTTCAATTATGGGCCCAGTTTTCAAGTTTGTCCAAGTTGGGGTCCAAAATTAAACTTTGTTTGATTTTAACAAAAATTGAATATATGGGGTTCTTTGATATGCTGAATCTAACCATGTATTTTGATTTTGGACATTGGACCATAATAGGTAAATTAAAAAAATTCAAGTTCTTAGACCACATTCTTTCTGTGTCAGAAACCTATGCTGTGTCAAATATTTAATAACAATCCAAATTCAGAGCTGTATCAAGCTTGAATGTTGTGTCCATACTTGCCCCAACTGTTCAGGGTTCGACCTCTGCGGTCGTATCAAGCTGCGCCCCAGCGAAGCATTTTATTTTCATCATGCTTGAAGATATTGACTTGATATTTGTTATATAGTTAACACCTTGACAAGTTATAGATCAAGTTAGCATTTTGTTCCAGTACAATGAATTTTTAACTGGTAGGGGACTATGTATTGCCATGCAATACTCTCAGAATGCTTGTTGTATTTGGATTTTGTTCACAATGAATTTACTCAAAGGTATCTTCTTATTTATCTTTTCAGATCAATTTTGAAATGTATACATTTACATTATGATAGTAAATGTTCAGCGCCATATGTGTTTACAGATATGCGAGGTGGAACAAAAAAGAATTACTGGATGGTCAATTTGGTCCTGACAACCCTAGTTGTAGCTGTATGTGTACATGTTTTATACGACCGCAAAAAAATTTTGCGGTCGTATATTGGTATGACGTTGGCGTCATCGTCGATGTCGTCCGAAGACACATTGGTTTTTCGCACTCTAACTTTAGTTTAAGTGAACGGATCTCTATGAAATTTTACCAGAAGGTTCAATATCACAAAAGGAAGGTTGGGATTGATTTTGTGGATTATGGTACCAACAGTTAAGGAATTAGGGGCCAAAAATAAGCATTTTTGTACTTCCAGACATAACTTGTGTGTTAGTGTATGCATCTCTCTGACATTGTACCACAAGGTTCCATATCACAATGGGAATGCTGGGATTGATTTTGGGGGTAATTGCCTCAAAATTATAGGAATGAGGGGCCACAAAAAAGGCAAAAAACAAGCATTTTTCTAGTTTCATGACAATAACTTGTGTGTAAGTGTATGGATCTTTCAGAAATTGTACTAAAAGGTTCCATATCTCAAAGGGAAAGCTGGAATTGAGTTTGGGGGTAATTGCCCAAAACGTTTTGGAATAAGGGGCCAAAAAAATAAGCATTTTTCTAGTTTCCAGACAATAACTTGTGTTCAAGTGTATGGATCTCTCTGAAATTGTACTGCAAGGTACCATACCACAAAGGGAAAGCTGGGATTGATTTTGGGGGTAATTGCCTCAAAATGTTAGGAATTAGGGGCCAAAAAAGGGGCAAAAAACAAGCATTTTTCTAGTTTCATGACAATTACTTGAGTGTAAGTGTATGGATCTTTCTGAAATTGTACTTCAAGGTTCCATATTACAAAGGGAAAGCTGGAATTCAGTTTGGGGGTAATTGCCCAAAACGTTTAGGAATAAGGGGCCAAAAAGAGGCAAAAAACAAGCATTTTTTTAGTTTCAGGACAATAACTTGTGTGTAAGTGTATGGATCTTTATGAAATTGTACTACAAGGTTCCATATCACAAAGGGAAAGCTGGGTTTAAGTTTGGGGGTAATTACCCTAAACGTTTAGGAATTTGGGGCCAAAAAGGGACCTAAAAACAAGCATTTTTCTAGTTTTCAGACAATAACTTGTGTTCAAGTGTATGGATCCCTCTGAAATTGTACTGCAAGGTACCATACCACAAAGGGAAGGCTGGGATTGAGTTTGGGGGTGATGAATCATAAGGGTGTTCAAAAAATTTGGGGGAGGGATTTTTTTTTCCTTTTTTTTTCTTTTAAATTTTCCATTTTAAATTGGTTATTTCTGATTTATATATAAAAGCAAATAATAATGATATGGTTTGAATAGGTAGATTAAATTTTTTTAAGATCTTAGACCACATTCATTCTGTGTCAGAAACCTATGCTGTGTCAAATATTTAATCACAATACAAATTCAGTTCTGTATCAAGCTTGAATGTTGTGTCCATACTTGCCCAAACTGTTCAGGGTTCGACCTCTGTGGTCGTATCAAGCTGCAGCCAGCGGAGCATTTTATTTTTTTTATATTTATAATTTTCAGAAATATTTTTCAAAACATGTTATTTTTGAATGTGCCAATGCAGCATAAAACTTTTTTTTATCATGCTTATGAAATGCCTCACTTGTCAACGTATATTTGTGCCTCCTACGGAAAATAGACATGACAGAAGTTCCTCTGGAAACTTATATATAATGCTATAATCTGATAATATCTGTTCCTTCTGGAACACATATTATATACCTTTAATTCCATCAAGAACAAGTACTGGCTTCAAGTGAAAATAATATTCCGTATTTTTTTCCATTTGGAACTAATATTATAACAGAATGTTTATTCCATGACAGTGTAACAAAATTTTTTAAATGGTCTGCTCATTCTAAATGAATACAAAGGAGCTGTTGAGTTCATTTTTCTCTCTATGGCCGTGTTTAGCATCTTTGTAACGTGATGGTATATTGCTTGAATGTAATAAATGTGATGCTACATGTATTTGAAATCATTTTCTTATAGATTGTGTTATGGATGTGATTCTGTTATTTCTAGAAACAAGATGGTATTCATTGTTTACCAGAATACTACATTATAGGAAATTTGTGGGGGAACACTGGAATGAATGTCAATGAAACAGCAACTCAATGATTAATTGGATAGATTTCTAATCATAAAAGGTGGTCATACCCTATGGTCTACAGTGATGGACAACTGCCCACACAGAATATAAAAACATGTTAAAAACTATTTTAGATGAAAAAGCAAAACAGAAAAAAAACATGTCATATAATAAATAGTTGAATTTTTACTATTATTGTTAATGTTGTGTATAGTTATAAAAACAAGCCAATATGAAAAGTTGTATGCAAATTAATATTTAATGTTCAGGAAGTAAAAATAGTATAGCCAATGGAATAAAACATCAATTTCCTTTGGCTAAGGGAGATATGAAGATTTGTAGTTTTTAACATTGTTTCTTTATTTGGCAAAACAGTATGCATATGGAGAAAAATTACTTTGGGAGAAAGTTCAATATCATCTTGTTTCAATTGTAGGAGTGATGTCAGTTATTGAGGGATCAGTGTTCTAAAAGATAAACAAATTTAGTGTTCTTGCCAAGATTATCATTGTCAAAACGGTCTTCTGCTCTTATTGAGCAGGGAACTTTTGAAGTTTCAGGGAACAGTTAAAAGATTCAACATTGAAAATGACAGAGTTTTGCTTCAGCAAATAATGTATATGACAGATATTTTACTGGAACAGTTTTGAAAATGTAGCCACATTTTAGAAGTTAAAATATTAATATAAGTAGTCATCAATTTTCCAACAAAATTTCAACTCATATCATTTAAAACATTTTCTTAATTAGGCAACAATACCAAGTATATTAACTTGTGGAGCAGGACAAAAAGAAAGAAAAGATACTTATGGAGCTTCAATTTGTTGTTTTACAGCACATTGTAATACTAGTAAGTCCTTTACATAAGACACAAAAAATGTATGTATTAAGGATTTCATTGGAGCAGCATATTCATAATTTTTAGAAATCAGTAGATATCACCTTTCTTATCACTCACTCACAGCAGTCAAATAGATGCCCCCTAAAGCATATCAAATTCAAGTGCAATTGCCATTTGTATGGCCTTTCAAGTTACAAACCGTAAGTATTGCAACTTAGCCATTGAGATAAGGTCAGGGATAGTTCTATTAAAAAGGATCTTGGAGAGAACAGAGAGACTTCTAAAATCCCCCTCAACCAAAATATTTTATAGTAATTTTGAGTACATTCAAAGGACTTACAATCAATAAATGGCAGACAACATATGAGCTGTGTCGGTTAGAAATCGACCTTGTGCAAGTGCACATATACATGTACTTGTATAAGACTTTGATTTTGGAACATTCAAATACGAAATATATTAAAGATAAATTTTGGTTTGTTTTGTAGGGTTCCTTATAACAACTCAATTTTCAAACAGTTATAGACTTTCCGTAGAGATTTTTATGCCCCATCTACGATAGTAGTAGGGGCATTATGTTTTCTAGTCTGTGCGTCCATACGTTCGTCCGTCCGTCCCGCTTCAGGTTAAAGTTTTTGGTCAAGGTAGTTTTTGATGAAGTTGAAGTCCAATCAACTTGAAACTTAGTACACATGTTCCCTATGATATGATCTTTCTAATTTTAATGCCAAATTAGAGTTTTGACCCCAATTTCACGGTCCACTGAACATAGAAAATGATAGTGCGAGTGGGGCATCTGTGTACTATGGAAACATTCTTGTTTTAAGCTTGAGATATATCAGCATACATAGAAGAACAGGAATGATTATACTGACTGTATATATTAGGCCATACTCAAGGTTTTTCCCGTTTCAGCAGTTTTAAAACCGGTTGCTTTTTTATCAATCTAATTAGAATTAGTTCTAACTTGCTCCTCATTTTCAGTCTGTTGTTTATAGCGAGACATATAAACATCCAAACGCAAATAAGAAGCAAGTGCAGAGAACTATCTAATTTTAATAAGATTGCTTTTCTATACATGAATCTTAAACAAGCTTATATGACAGTAACGAATGATCTGTCAAAAACATTTTTTCTTTGAATTTAATTACTTCCAGGTCAAAGGTTTAGATTTTGTCAGAAGGATCAAGGATATGACATATGCCAGGACTGCCCTGCAGACCAGTACACTAATGATTTTATAGATACAAGTCAGTGGAAAGAAGAAACTGATGTTTGTGTATTAAAACCTGATTGTAGTGCACGTAAGACCATCTCTCGAATAAGGAAGAATTTAAAAGATGGAAAGTGTATAAAATATGAAAATAAGAAGATGTGGTATGATTGCTAAAGAGACAACTCTCCAACAGAAACCAAATGATGGATAAAGTTAGCAACTGTAGGTCACCATGTGGCCTTCAACATCAGCAAAACCAATAACTCATGCAAGCTTAAAGCCTGATTTATGTAAAAAATAAGAAACAAAAAAGAAATATAACTAATACTCAAAATTGACAACAACACTTCAAATGGTCTGCAATTTTATTTGCTATTGTCTACATGTTTCGCCTGCAAGACGGGCGTTATCAGGACAATTTTCATACAGAAATTAATTACTGAAGTACTCAAAGTGGTACATTGAATTTGACGTTGTCAAGGTGAGAGAAACAATGAAAAGTGAAAGTAGCAATAAAGAGTTATAAATAGATTAGATAAATATAGAAAAATAAAGTTTGTTTACAATGTAAATTGAATTCGTTTTACTTTTATATGATACATGACATTGTTCCACCTTGGACCATTTGAAGTGTTGTTGTCAATTTTGAGTATTATTTAAATGTTGCATTCATTTGCATAATTTGACAACCCTGCATACCAAGGTATCCACTTTAGGGACTCTATTGAAATGATTCACACAGGCGTTGGTTCACCAAACGGAGTTTAAAAAAAGAAATATGATAAACAGCAACAAACAACAACCACAAAATTGAGAAAGACTGCATTTTATTTGGAAATAAGATAATTGACTGGATATGAAGAACTCCTACCTGCAGGTGTTGGTGACAATTGCAAATATCTTATTTTCTGTCTTCCCTAAGCGTCGCCAGGAAAAACTGCATTTGAGACTGTTAAATCACCAAATATGGGCAACTGTTCAACGACAGTACTGTTATTCCTTAATTTAGTCAGTCGTGGTGTATACATGTATTTGCTTTTTATTGGCAATAATAAATTCTCCCCTCACACTTGAACAAGTTAACAACTGAGTTTCCAAGTTAATAACTGTTGATATGCATGTTATTGTGTCTTTTCAGCTGAGAAGATTTTAGTTGGAAATAAATGTGAGTGTGATCGTAGTAAAGGTTACTACGGTACAGACCCAGACAACTGTAGTATAAGGCTGAATGACTGTAAAAAGGCGGGTTATCAGTTAGATTTAAATGGTATTTATGATTTTTATTTGAAACAAGGAATTCTTTGAATCAAGAATAATTTTGAATTCTGGATAATTGATAAGAAATATGTCATGAAAACTAACCCAACTTTAGTGGGTTAGCCATGTGCAAATGTTTAAGGTTCAAGTTACTTTCACTTATATATCAGTATGAATTAACCAACCCCCTTAGCCATGCTTGCATGGCCAACCCTCCTAATTTTGGTTATTCACCAGACATTTCTTATCAATTTTCCAGAATTCCAAATAATTCCAGATTCAAATAATTCCTTGTTTTGATGGTTTTATTTGTTCCCCTCACTAAAGCTAAGGGAGAGTATTGGCTTTAAATAAAAAGATAAGTATATGTCGATGAACCAAATGCACTCAGCCCTATTCAATTTGATTTTGAACAGTAAAAAAGTTACATAACTATATCTACTGGTACAATAGACAACAAAAACACAGGTACAAGTACATGCAAAAATATATCAATGATCCCCTTGCAGAATTATTTTAGTTGACTCATACCGCCATCAGATATTACTACCACTGTAACAAAAAAAACTTGTACAATAAGATCAGTAAAAACGGGGAAAATAGCTTTTGCCTCACTTTTATGTTTGTCTAAAGCTGTTCAAAGGTTTGAACTTATTGCCCAAATATTCTTGACATTAGTAAGTACACCAATAATGTGATTAATGTTGAAATAAACAGAATTGGTATAGTTACCAATGAGACTATTGTGCACCAAAAGACCATGAAGAGCTACAGGCCACCATATACGACCTTCAACAATGAGCAAAACCTATAAGGGATAGTGAGCTGTATAAGGCTCCAGGTAACGAAATGTGAAACAATATTACAGAGAATACTAATTTCCTCATTTGTACTAATAAAATCAAACAAAAAAACCCAATTACATGTATGACAGACAGACATCAACCAGTAACTAGCCATGAACTACAATCTAGATTATGAATAAGATATATTTTTGTGTTTAAATTTCACATGTTAATCATTTTTAGGAAACTGTATTGAGTGTGGTCCCAATCAGTTCAAGCCAGGAAGAGACCAATATGGAATTTGTCAAGATAAAAGAGAGTTTGTATTTTCCTTTTTTTCATTGTACATTTAATTGAAAGTGATTACCAGTTGACATTACTTCTTTGTTATGGCTAATATTTAATAATATTTAGATTTATGTTCAAAAGAAGTATTAAGGTGGATCCTCACTACATATTTCCTCAGAATTTTCTTACATTTGGCCATGCTACAAGTTGTCGAAAAGGAGTAGGCCCAGTAAGACCCCTTTTTGGCCCCAAAATATAGCGTTTTTACAAAGTAGTAAAAAATGTCACTTTTAGCTATTTATTGGAAAGTAGAATGCTTTTGTTACATGAACATGGGCTGTTTTTGAAAATACAATGGACATGCATCAGGTACTAGCATCATTATTTCATGCAAAAATACTCAAATCTTCACAATTTTAGCATTTGTGCTAATTTTGAGACGGCTTTTGTCTAAAATGGAAGTGGCCGCACTTGTGTTCAGTCTTAATATTTAGATAATGATATATGTTGTATTTGATGATAATACATAACATATATAAATGTTGAGACTGAACACGAATGTGGCCACTTTCTTTTTAAACGAAAACCATCTGAAAATTGATGTTTTATGGCATATTTGACAGATTTTTCATATTTAAGCTTGAATTTGAGAGTCTTTAATGGCCAAATCAGTTGAAATATTTAACATAAACTGATTGAATCGACTGAAGTAGACACTTGAGTGTTTAAAACATGTCAAAGATCTTTCATCAGATGTATTACGAATTTCAGGCCGAAATTAGCCCTTACCGGACCTTCTCCTTTCCCAATTTTGCATAGATTATTCATGAAAAAACACTTTTTTGTTAATAAAAAAAATTTCTATGAGATAAAATTTTGAAATAGAACTATATAATATGCTTTAAGAAAATAAAAAGAAAAAAATAGTGTAACCGAACTTGTTTTCTTGCTACAAGTAAAATATGAAAATTTCACTATCATTCAAGTATAAGAAATTTTACTATAAGAGTTATCTTCCCTTATATGGCTAAGTTTAAAAATTGAATTGCACAAACAAATGTTTAGTAATTGTTGAAACAGACTAGATTGTGCAATAATTATCTTATTTTCCTTTATTTAAACAAACAGTCTTACACATTAATTGCCAGTCTGTCTAAATATTTGCAGATTTAAACAAAGAACTACCGTAGAAAGGCTTGTATAGTTCGCACTGGTACATAGTCCGCACCCCCTTCTCCCCACGAAATTTTAGGTAAAAAAACTTTTTGTAACTGTTAGAAAAGGTCTAATGAAACTCCGGTAATTTCAAATCCTGTGCGGTCGTTTGCGGTATTTTCTTGGAAAAACATGTTTTCCATCATCAAACAGAAGCTGAAACTGCTTGTAAATGATTCTAGAACGCTTCATGATTGTTAAAATAAGTTTAATTCACTTAAAAAACAATTTAGAAACTTGTGTATGTTTAAACAGGAAGTTTAAAAAGCACGTGTAAAAGAAGAAATTAACCGGTGAGAGTCGAAATCCGTACATAACAGATATAACTATAATACGACTTTGAAAGTAAAACAGTTCCATCCTTTTGTAAAACAGTCTTTAATATATCTATCACATTAATGTTTGAAGGGTCTTAAGCTAATACAAACCATATTAGTCCGTATGAAACACCAATACGGAACGAACAATAACCGATTACGTTTTGTAGTTTACAAATTCTAAGCTGGTTTACGGTTGTCTTTTTCACTATGTTTGTATCCTTTCAATCAAGCAGATACCAGTTTATTTCAACCAATGCATTGAAAAGAAACGAGAAATTTGTAATGAAATGTTTAGTTTTTATATTTATCAGTATTAATTTGATATTGAATAGAAATAACTTATTAATATGGATGAGTTAAAATTATTAGTTTGAAAAATTATAAGAGCGCCCTCTACAATATAAATAACAAAGATGGCGGAACGTAAACAAACCACCTCGCCCGCGAAATTGAAATTTTTTTTCTTATTACTTGCTTATTGTACTCTATAGTCCGCACCCCATCTGGAAGGTCCAATTTTGGAGAATAAAACCGCGGACTATACAAGCCTTTCTACGGTAGACAGATTGTGTACTGCTATTTTACAATCCAAGATGGCAGTATATAGTTAATCTACCTTAAACTATGTTTTAAAAGTCTGCATTGTCTTTCGAGATGTTTATTCTGAAAAGATTTGATTCTTTGATGAGAATAGTCCATGCAATGTAGTATTAAATTGCCATTTCAAATGCATTTCAAATTTGTTGAAAATATTACAGCCTTTCTTGATTAAGATTTTTAAGTACTGGGAAAAAGGTATCAATAAAAAATTGTGTCATAATTATTGTAATAGAAATTTTGTGATTCTTTCCTGTTTGGAGCCAGTTATTTAAAAACAAAAATAAATTATTTGATTTCCAAATTTTAAAACTTATCTATTGACTCACTTAAACATAAAGGCTATTGTTACCGTATTTAAGATACAGCTAAATTTACAACAACACTTAAGAAAACTGCAACTTTTATTGGTATTTGAGATATTATTAAACTTTTTGTGCTGACAAGGTTTTAAGTATCCAACATTGAATACATTTGTACTGGTAATTACTTAAAACAAAATATGTAACTATATGGATATAAATTCATATTTTAAAAACATATTGCCCTGCCAATTTTTAGGGTAAATATTGCATTCATGCAGTTAAAACCCTTATGTGTCTGGCTTGATAGTTATCAATTTTCCAAACTTTATCAACGCTTTTGGGATAGAAAAAACATTGTGCATTGAGCACAACATCCTATTCATCCTATCCATCAACATTTCAAGATATTTATCAATGAAATACATACTCAGATATTCAAATTACAAAATAATGTGTATGTATATAAGCATACTTGTCAAGAAAATTACATAAATTGTGCATGGTACATGAATCTAGTATCTGTTGTAAAACTACCAATGATGTCATTCTTTCAGTAATATTTGAAATTGGAGTTATCTTCCTTTGTCCATATATATATATATATAATTGAGTTGAATTATCATAGTATTGCCTTCCAATTCTTAATACAATGCAATCTTTACCCTTTAGTGCTCACAAACGTTTGGATTATTTTTGGCTTTACACATTTGACATGATGACAACTTAAATATTTATTTGATAGATGTAAAGATGGTGAAATAGAAGAAAACCCTGGATCTATAACCAGTGACAGAATATGTCAGACAAATGAAGAACCAACAACTGTTGTCCCAGAAATTATCACAACTACAGGTATTACATTACCTATCGATAAGGTTTGGCTCAATCTAAATTACTCAGTTGTATATGTATTGAAATATCTTTTAAAATTTCTTGTTTATATAGTTATGGAATACAGATTTCATAATCATTTGTGTAAATATAAATATAATGGCGAGGCAGTACAGTCTTCTCAATGAACAACACTCATAACAGTTTGTACAAAACTTAAACTATAAAAGACCCTGGCTTGACAAAATGTAAAATAATTCAAAAGAGATAAACCAGCAGACTGTTTATAGAAATAAGAAGATGTGGTATAAGTGTCAATGAGACAACTCTCCATCCAAGTCACAATGTGTAAAAAGTAAACAATTATAGGTCAAAGTATGGCCTTCAACACAGAGCCTTGGCTCACACTATAAAGGGCCCCAAAAATGACTAGTGTAAAACAATTCAAACAGGAAAACCAACGATCTAATCTATATAAAAAACGAGAAACACTTAAGAACCACATTAAAAAACGACAACCACTGAAACAGGTTCCTGACTTAGGACAGGTGCAAACAAATGCAGCGGGTTTAAACGTTTTAACAGGTGCCAACCTTCACCCTAACCTGAAATAGAAGTGTAACATTACAACATAGAAAGACACACTATAAAATATCAATTGAAATGGCTTAACTCAATCAAAAAGACATATTAACAAAAACAAGTAAACATACACTGAACGAATAAATTTGATCTATGACACAATGTCAAAAAGACATGTATATGTATATTTTAAAAGATATTAAGCTCTGAAAAGTTATTTCTCTTCCTTTCAGAAACAGCTACCACAACAGTTAGCAAACAGTCAGATAAAACATGGTATGCATTTTTATTAAACAAAGAGAATTTTAATTAAAATGTATTTTTGAATGTAACAGCAGTAGACCAATAGGAGTGTTAAGGTTTATTCATGTTTGAAAATATATAGACAGTTTATAATCTTAAATTTTGTGAAATACAATTTTGTCACTTGACGTCCTTCCTCATCTAAAGATCTTCTCCTCTGAAACTACTGAACCAATTTCAACCAAACTCGGGGTGATTGATCCTTATGGTATCCAGTATAAAGTTTGTATTTTTATGCCCCCGCCGTAGCGGAGAGGGGGAATTAAGTTTTACCCTTGTCCGTCTGTACGTACGTCCGTCCGTACGTCCCAAAGTTGGTTTCCGTTCTCTAACTTTAGTTTGCCTCAACCAAATGCTATGAAACTTATACACAATGCTTATTACCACAAAACACCGATCAAGTTTGAATTTTGGTGGTGTCACCTAAACCGTTCTATGGTTATGCCCCTTTACAAATGGAAAAATTGCTGAATTTTTTGTTTCTGTTCTCTAACTTTAGTTTGCCTCAACCAAATGCTATGAAACTTATACACAATGCTTATTTCCACAAAATACAGATCAAGTTTGAATTTTGGTGGTGTCACTTTAACCATTCTAGAGTTATGCCCCTTTACAAAGGGAAAAATTGCTAAATTTTTCATTTCCGTTCTCTAACTTTAGTTTGCCTCAACCAAATGCTATGAAACTTATACACAATGCTTATTACCACAAAATACAGATCAAGTGTGAATTTTGGTGGTGTCACTTTAACCGTTCTAGAGTTATGCCCTTTAAAAATGGAATAATTGCTGAATTTTTCGTTTCCGTTCTCTAACTTAAGTTTGCCTCAACCAAATTTTATGAAACTTATACACAATACTTATTACCACAAAACTCAGATCAAGTTCATATTTGGGAACGTTTCTTTTACTGTTCTTCAGTTATGCCCGTTTATAATTTTATATGATATGCAAGCGGGGCATAATCTGTGTTCCATAGACACATTCCACATTTATTTTTCCTGTCAGTCAACAAACATGGCCGTCCTGGCTAAATATTGAACATAGGGGTAATATGCAGTTTTTGACTTAAATATCTCATTAACTAAAGCAGTTAGAGCCAAATCTAATGAGGGTAAACAATGATCAGTAGATCAATATCTCTGTGGTGGTATTTTCAGACAAATGAAACAACCAGTTTTGGATTTATTTGCCCCTGAAATAATAATTTTTTATGAACTTTCCATGGACAATTTTATGTTAAAGGGGTCTTGAATTCTTTTGAAAGCTTCAGACATACTAATTTTTAACCTTTTTCAGCTGGACCAAATCACTACTTTACTTTAAAATTCATGACCCAAATTTTTTTACAGTGTACCGTCTTTTGGTGTGTATAGTGCGCATTTGTGTATTGTGTGCACCCCTTTATGGTCAAAGAAACTTGAGAAAATAAGTTTCTTCTTCCTATAATACACATAGACATTTTCGGAAAGTCACAGCTCCAAAATCGGTAAAATGTTGCTTGAACGTGATTTTTTTTGGCAAGGAATTAATGAGAAGTCATGATTAATATCATGGAAAGAATTTATTGTAGCTGAATAAAGAATTTTAATAGTTATCTACTTTTTATAACCCACAAGCTAATGTTTGTCGTTTGTTGGCAAACAGGAAGTCTAAACTGGAAGTTTTTTAAATGGTCACCGATGTCGGTGAATTCCGTACAGAATAAGTAATTAATACGAAATTGTCTTATCTTGTATTATTTAATTTTTATACGACCGCAAAAATTTTTTTTTGGGGGATCGTATAATGGTATGATGTCGTCTGCGTCTGCATCGTCGTCCGAAGACACATTGGTTTCCAGATAATAACTTTAGTTTAAGTGAATGGATCTTGATGAAATTTTTTAAGAAGGTTCAATACCACAAAAGGAAGGTTGTGATTGATTCTGGGGATGATGGTCCCAATCGTTTAGGAATAAGGGGCCCAAAACAAGTTTTTTCTAGTTTCAGGATAATAACTTGTGTATAAGTATTTCAATTGCTCTGAAATTGTATCACAATGTTTAATACCACAAGTAGAAGGTTGGGATTCATTTTAGGGGTTATAGGGCCAACAGTTTAGGAATTAAGGGCCAAAAACGAGCATTTTTCTAGTTTCCAGACAATAACTTGTGTGTAATTGTATGGATCTCTCTGACATTGTACCACAAGGTTCCATATAACTAGTGGAAGGCTGGGGTGGAGTTTTGGGTGAATTTCCCCAAACATGTAGGAATTGGGGGCCAAAAAAGGGCCAAAAACAAGCATTTTTCTAGTTTCCAGACAATAACTTGTGTGTAAGTGTATGGATCTCTCTGAAATTGTACTACAAGGTTCCATACTACAAAGGAAAGGCTGGGATTGAGTTTTGGGTTATTGCTCCAAGGGGGGTTTCAAAAAGTTGGGGGGGGGGGGGATTTTTTTCCCAATTTTTTTAAAGGGATTCATATTTTTTTTCTCAAAATTTTTTCAAATTTCGAATTTTTGAAAAGTTTCAAGAAGAAATCTTCAGTTGCACAGTATTGCGCAATGGATTTATAAGATCTTTGACCACATTTATTTTGTGTCAGAAACCTATATTATGTCAAAAATTTGATTACAATCTTAATTACACCTTATGTAAGAATCCTGGGTTTTGATTGGTTGATAGCCAGTGTATTTTTCACCAATTTACTGTTATCAAATGAATATCGTTCATTTTTTAACGCCGCCGGGGTATATGCAAAAAGGATATGCCTGTTTTACCCTCTCTGCCATGGTTTTTGCCAAAAAATACTCTATCCGACTGGATGCTTGTAACGTCACGATCATCAATGCGTTTTTGAACGTTAACATTCGGTGTAATTAAACAGATATAGCATGTTCTTGAGGGGTATTTGCGAAAAATACCAGTCTTGAGAATGAATTTCCCTCGCCTTACGGCTCGCGAAATTTAACATTCTCTCGACTGGTATTTTTCGCAAATACCCCTCCTTAACATGATACATCTGTTAAAAATTCAGACAGTATCAAGCTTGAATGTTGTGTCCAAATTTGCCCCAACTGTTCAGGGTTCGACCTCTGCGGTCGTATCAAGCTGCGCTCAGCGAAGCATTTTATATGTTATGAATTAGTGCTGAAATGAATTGTTAAAATCTCATAATTTTTATTTTTTGTTTGTTGATTCTAGCTGTTAATCCTGATTATCACACCTCAATCAATGGGTCTAATCGATGTCAAAACAAATCAATGACAGGTTCACCTTGTTCCTAATTAAATTCGTTCAGGTTACAATTATGGGATTATCATGTTTTCAATCATAATTTCTTGAACGGTTTTAAACAGTTGTTACTGTTTAAAGTTACAAAGTAGAATATATTTATAAAAAAAAAACTTTTCATATACTAATTCATCACGTTACAATGTTAAGTCACATGACTGGCGATCACCTGATACAATAGAAAAAAATGGTTTATCTTTTCAAAACGAGTGTGGTTTATTCAATTTTCATACACTTATCTTCTACTCTGCATGATGAACACATACAAAAACAGTAAGTTATGACCACAAGATACACAGAGGCTAAATTAACTGACAACAAAAGCTTCATTGTGTCTTTATTAAGACATGGCAAACTTCCGGATGGCAAACAGATGGACAAATTTACACGATAAACGTAACTACAGAGATATAAAATGTATTTTAAATGAATAAAACATGACATATCAAGAACAATAAGATACATATTACAAATATAACATGTCAAACATAATAAAAATCGTGGTTTTAGCGAAAAATTCCGTACTCTTCACTTCACCTGGTTTTTTCTTTGTCAGAACTCGGACCTGAAAAATGACTAAGAAAATGCTTGTAGGCATGTATAATGCGCACCCCTCTTACAAGAAACACGACCCAGGGTATAAATGTGCGCACTATACACACCGCTTGACGGTAATTTCATCCCCCCTACTTGTTATTTTAGGCATAAAACATGAAGAAATAAAATTGGAAGGGGTATGAAAACTATTGCAACGAATACACTGTTCACAGAAGGGACTATATTTGTAGACAAAGAAATTCTAAGGACAATAACTGTGTTCTCAGACCTCATGGTTCATTGACTTGGAATCTTTTGCATTGTTTACAAGTTAAAGTTTTTGTTTTGGTTAGTGTACATGGCACCACTTTTGATTGATAGATTGATTGTTTAACGTCTAGTGGTACGACTTTTGATAAGTCAATGGTATGTGGTATATAGTTTTATAAGCATTAGCTTTTTTCATTTCCATGGAGGTTATTTGGTCCTGCACATTAAGTCATGGCTTATGGACTATGAATATATTGTATAGTTTGCATGTTTCGATATTGCCATTTGGATTCAATATTTTACCAAAATTACAAAAAGGCAAGACATATCTCTGTGTAAACAGTTTATTTAACACATTAATTTTTCACTTTTAATGAGTCAAAGTGTAACTATGTTTGTATATATCGGATCTAAATGACCATCTAACAGGGTTCACCTGACCTTGACCTTGTTTCATGGATCAGTAATCAAGGTTAAGTTTTTAGTGGTCAGTCTATATCTATTTCCTAAAGATACTTTGAGTAATATATCAACTATATTTGATGTATGGAATGATTGTATGGTGCACATGTCTATCTGGCAGGTGGTTTACTGTAAACCAACTAATTTTTGCCATCGGTTTATTTTCACAACTTTCGCAAGTAGAAAAATAACGTGAATATAAATTGTTGTGAATATGAAAAATCTTACTTATTTAACTACATCAAATAAAATTGAAATCTGGGAAATTAAATCACCACAAAGTCGGCTAGAAAGGCCTAAACACGAAATAAAGTGTCCATGAAAAAAAGTTTTGTTACAGTATCATGATGTTCTGATCACATCAGCTTGAAACTCAGTATACATGTTCAATATGATGCGAGTTTTTTTTAAATGGCCAAATTAGGATTTGAACCCAGATTTTGCAGTTCAAAATTTGGTTGTGCCAGCTTGACAAGGTGTCATATGGGCACATATTCTTGTTTTACAATAATTAAACCCTGTGCCACTATTATGACCCACTTAGTGCTCATGTGTCCAGTGAAATATATTGCCGAAACAACAGCTATTTTTGCCTTTTAAAAATGAAAATGAATTGTTCATGTCTACATAAGTAATGTTCTAGAGTGGCCATAAATATATCATCACATGAAAAATATTTAATTACAGGATAATAGGAATAGTGGTTGCAGTAGCTATTCTGGTGTGTGTTGGGATATTATATTGCAACAGAAATACTTTGAGGGAAAAATTTAAAGGTAAGACACAGTGGCTGATTCAGGAGAGGGTGTACACCTCTCTTTGATTGGAAAATATAACATTTCTTTATAAAATCATCCAAAAATTTTTGTCCTCTCTACATTTGGCACTATTTCTTCCGTTTTATGGAACTATGCCCTTTCAAAAACCCTCAGACAAATAGAGGCAGTAGATTTTTCAAAAATAAAGATGGTATGGCAAAAAAAAGTTGCAGTCTACTATTTAGTTATGCAGTAGATAAATTTGGTAATTATTTAACCAAGTTGACAATGATTGAGATAAACCACTAGACAGATGGATTAAAATAAGGCCATTGTTATAAGTACATGTGTGTATTCACCTGAGTACATGTGTGTATTCACACTAGTACATGTGTGTATTCACACGAGTTCACATGTGTATTCACATGAGTACATGTGTGTATGCACACTAGTACATGTGTGTATTCACATGAGTACATTTGTGTATTCACACGAGTACATATGTGTGTATTCACACTAGTACATGTGTGTATTCACTTGTAATGGCAATTTGCATCACAGTATAATTAAGGACACAATTTGTCTGTGATGAACGTTGTAAAGGTAAAGTGATAACTGAAATTTGCATAAATAGTTAAAGGAGTAATTAAGTTCGGTAAGGGCCAAATTTGGCCCCAAATATTAAGTTCAGTGTTTCAGGATAAAATGTGTTTTAAGTTGATGAAAAGACATGTGAGAAAGTAATATTGAACTATTTTTGCCAGAGCTTTATTTTTATTAAGCATTGATTTTGACATCCCAAATAGGTTAGGGCTATTCCATTAAAATGTATCTGGGAGGGTAGGAAGGGAAGTTTAATTATTGAATGTGGGTCATGGGTCTTTTTTCAGTATGCGTCTATTACCATTATGCAAAATTATCTAGAAAATGATTCTTGGTTGTAGGGATATTTTGAAAGTCCCTTCCTACCCACCCACATACATTTTAATGGAATAGCCCTTAAAAATAGAGATTTTTGCGAAATTGGACTAAATCATCCGGATTTCAACCAAATTAAGACCTAGGAAACATAGAGTGCAGGCTATGACAAACAAAATATTCAAGTCAGATATGTAAAATGTCATAACAAACATTAGGCTTAAATATCTTTGTTGTCGATGCATGCGCTATATGTTTCCTCTCCAAAAAATCAACGTAAATAAACTCATCATAGACTCATCAGTGACGCTCAAATAAAAAAAATTTTAAATGTCAAATAAAGTTGAAGAGCATTGAGAACCAAAAATTCCTAAAAGTTTTGCCAAATACAGCTAAGTTAATCTATTCCTGAGGTATAAAAGCCTTAGTATTTCAATAATTCAAAGTTTTGTAAACAGTTAATTTATAATTATGACCATATCAATGATAATTCTTGTCAACACAGAAGTGTTGATTACTGGGCTGGTGATACCCTCGGGGAATTAAAACTCCACCAGCAGTGGCATCGACCCAGTGGTTGCAAATAAACTCATCATAGATACCAGGATTGAAATTTAGTATTTGCGCCAGACGCGCATTTTGTCTACAAAAGACTCATCAGTGACACTCGAATAAAAAAAAAAATGTTAAAAGGCCAAATAAAGTTTGAAGTTGAAGAGCATTGAGAACCAAAAATTCCTAAAGGTTTTGCGAAATACATCTAAGGTTTTCTATTCCTGAGGTAGAAAAGCTTAAGTATTTCAATAATAAATTTCCCTGTTTTCATCAAATTTTCACGGAAAATCAAAATGAGTGCTATTTGTGACGTCATGAATAGAACGCAAAAACATAAATCTTCAATAGAAGACGTTTTTCCAACCTAGGCATCATATTACCTATGATTTCATGTGACATTGGCCAATAAATTTTAATTTCAAATTTCAGCTAGAATTAGGGGCCATTTTAGGGCCTTATCGAACCTTCTCCTTTCATTAGGCTTCACAAATTTAAACTGAACTAGCATAAATCACATTCAACTTATAGCTTTCGGTCAGTTCCTCCAAGATGCATCTGCACATCAATTATATTGGTGTATGGCTGACCAGCATGAAAATCCTTGCTAAAGTGGGCATTCATTTCACTTGGTTGCCTATTCATACATCCTGTATATGTGGTCTGTTATAAGACTAAATTTTAAGCTTCTATGCATCTTGTCTCATGTGGCAGTCCAAATTTCCATCCCTTCCTCCTGGTTGGCATACCTTGCAGAATGTACTTATTGTACTATTTGTTAATAGCTTCAGAAATAATTGTATCAATCAATCAATCATGGCTTTAGATCTTAAGGTTCAGAGATATATTGGAAGCATTCTACAGGAGACACTAGTGAAATTATAGAATATAATACTGGTATATAAATGCAAAAGCCCTATTTCTGATTATATGATTATCTTAACTATGAACTTCAGTATGCTGTTATTAGATTTATTTATTTATTTTACAATATATACTTCATTTACCAGTATATGTGAATGGTTGATTTTGTCATGTAAGAATTCTATTTGTAGGCTTTAATATCTGTAGTAAGTATAGAATAAAATAAACATTTTTGCTTGATTTCTTTTGCTTATTTATACTGGCACTTTAGTAGCGGCTGCTATATATTTTGTATTGCAAGCACTCTGTTGTCCGTCCATATGTCCAACAAAAATTTTCTTGACACTTTTGTCAGGTACAGCTAAATAGAAGAATTTTGTATTTGGTCAGCAGCTTGTCAGTGGTGTGTTGTTAAGTGTGAGCACTTTTTGGATATGTCAGAAACCTAATTCCTGTTGCCAATACTTTGATTTGTTTTTAGTCCCCTACCGACGATGTCGAAGGGGACTTCAGGTTTGCACTCTGTCCGTCAGTCTGGCAAATCAGATTTTTCTTCGTGCTTGAAGATATTGATTTGATGTTTGGTATATAGTTTTATCATGACAAGTTATAGATCAAGTTATAATTTTGTTCCGATCTGATGATTTTGTGTAGAGTTATGGTCCTTGGACTAAGAAAATTCACCCAAATAATCATTTTTTACGCCTTTTTTTTTGTCATGATTAAAGATATTATTTGATAATTGGTATATATAGTTTTGTCATGACAAGTTACAGATCAAATTTGAATTTTGTTCTGGTCTCATGAATTTTTGCAGAGTTATGGTCCTTGGACTTGGAAATTCACTCAAATAATCAGTTTTCCCCACTTATTTTTTGTCATGCTTGAAGTTATTGACTTAATATTTGTTATATAGTTTACACCATGACAAGTTATAGATCAAGTTAGCATTTTATTCCAGTACAATGAATTTTTAACCTTTAAGGGACCATGTATTGCCATGCAATACTCTCAGAATGCTTGTTACTCAATATGTTGGAGGAACCTAATATTTTGTCTCATATTTGTCCAGGACTTTTGAACAGAATGATTTCATATTTGGTCTGCAGCTTAACTATGATGAATTGTTATTTGTATGTGCTTTTCAGTTCTGTGAGACACCTACTTCCTGTTTTCGGATACTAGGAATTAGGAGTAAGGATATGCCTAGGCATGACCAACACATGCATTTTACTTTGATTTTTTGTTTTGCTTAACATTAAGTTAGCTTGTTTGATTTGACATGTAGTTTTGGTTGCCTAAATTGCTATTTGAGTTTTGATTCATATATATGAAAATGCTCTAGCTTTATAAAATAGTTATATATGTAATAATATGTATGATTATGGCCTATTTGCTACAATTTTAGTTTTGCTTTCTTTATATAACGATTGAATACACGCTTTAGCTTAATACATGGATTGCATAATGCATAAATTCTGTATATACCAGATGTGGATCCAGGATTTTGAAAGGGGTGGGCAAACAAGACAAAGTTTGGAGTGAAACAAGTAAATAGTCTGGATTAACCATAAATGCACCTCCATAGAAGGGGGGACCCAGGCCCCACCTAAATCAGCCTCTGTATACACAATTGCAGTGAAATTAGGAAAAATACTAATTGCACATAGATAAAATTTTCATCTTTCTCATAAAAAAACATAAGGAAAATATATTAAGATGAAAGTACAGTTGCCTGACAAATAGAAAAAATATGATTTTTTTTTTCTACAAATGTATAAGGTTAAAAATAAACATTGGATTTGCATTTAACAAAAAAATGTTTATATAAGTAGGATACTAATTTCCAAATACATTTAGCAATATTGTAAAATAAACATTGTAGTGCTGCGAGCAAATAAGCACTTAATTCCCTTTAAGTATCACCACTTCTCCCTGTCATTGATTCGGAAATAGTGTGAGCACTGGAAAAAGTCAATCACTGATATGTTAGAGCCAAACATTAATTAAGCCATTTTTATTAGCTCACCGGGGCCCTTTGGGCCCCATGTGAGCTTAAGCCATCACTTGGCGTCCTTCGTCGTCCTTTGTCTGTTGTCGTCGTCGTAAACTATTTCAAAAATCTTCTCCTCTGAAACTACTGGGCCAAATACCTGTAAACTTCAACTAAATGTTCCTTAGGGTATCTAGTTTATAAATTGTATCCGAAGTTTTGATCCATCGACAAACATGGCCGCCATGGCTAAAAATAGAACATAGGGGTCAAATGCAGTTTTTGGCTTATATCTCAAAAACTCAAGCTTTTAGAGCAAATCTGACATGGGGTAAAATTGTTCTATTAGTCAAAATCTATCAGCATCTGAAATTTTCAGACGAATTGAACAACCCATTGTTGGGTTGCTGCCACCGAATTGGTAGTTTTAACAAAATTTTGCAGTTTTTTGTTATTATTTTGAATATTATTATAGATATATATAAACTGTAAGCAGCAATAATGTTCAGCAAAGTAAGATCTACAAAAAAGTTAATATGACCAAAATTGTCAATTGACCCCTTAAGGAGTTATTGCCCTTTAAAGACAATTTTACACAATTTGTTCATCAAGTTTGCTAACATTTAAAAATCTTCTCCTCTGAAATACAGGTGAGCGATTCAGGCTCTTGAGAGCCTCTTGTTTTGGTCTGATACCATTTTTGATTCAAATTGCCTGTCAAATAATCCTTTATAAACCAGTCAATGAAAATTTCATGCAACTTCAGAGATTTTATCCATGCTAAGTGGCATTGTGCACCTATAATTATATTTTTGAAACAATTGATTTCATTAAGATTACACGTCTGAGCTGTTGGTGTGATAAGGGATACTTTTATATTCAAAGCCATTTTTGTAAAGTGAGCCTCCCCTCTTTCCCCCAGACACACACACACCTAGCTGCCTAGTTTGAAATGTTTTAATTTATTTGAGATCATTTCTTTCAAATAGTTTGCAATAAGGAAATAAGAGCTTTCAGTACTTAAAATAATTTAATGTTATAACTTTTCAGAATTCTTTAATGCAAGATGTAAAGAATGTAAAAGAGGAGGCAGACATGATCCTGAAGAAAATGAACATATGTTAAATAGTATTGAAAATGACAGGTTACAAAATGACAGGTTACAAAACAACTTTGGAAGACAAAGTGCAAATGGCTCTGCAGGCAATGGTCACATGATAGGGTCAGAGGGTCACACCATTCCAAACTCAACATTCCAGAGAGAGCAGGACATTTCAATGGATAATCAAGTTTCAAATGGGAGTACAGTTGTGAAAAGAAATAGAACACAAAGTGATACAAATATAAATGAATATGATGAACAACGAAATTCCTCTCGTGTGGATTCAGTGAATGAACTAGTTAGTGACTTAACTATGAGCACTTTTATTGATGGATCTGGAACAGCATCTATATGTGAAAATCAGATAGAGACCAAGGACAGAAGTAAAATGCCACACTCAGATAATAAACCTTTTAACTCTTTGAATGCTGACAGTTTGTTACAAGATGACAGTTCTTTTGGTGAACAAGCTTTAAATTCTGAATCAATTTTTGCTCACAGCTCTCCACAGACTCAATCATCAGTGCCATGTGATCGTGATCCAGACACAATACCAAAAACAATGAGTGACAATTTCTCTGTAGAATCTGTAAAGGAACCGGGAGAAGAAAGTCTTTCTAAAAATAATTCCAATGGGAATATTCCTGCACCTGGATTATTTCAAAGCTTACAGACTGTGCCTAATAGACAGACCGATTTAAATGAGATTAACCACCAATCAGATGTACCAGATATACCAGCTACAAATCCTACTGCTGCAAAAGAAATCCTCAAGCCACAGATAAGAGTCAAGCCAATGGCTAAAGGTATAAAAGGGTTAACAAGATTAAGGGTCGTATACAAATGATTTATCTAAGGTTAAGAATATTGAATTATTTTAGTAAATACCTGTGGGTGGACATATAAAATACAAGGATGATGAAAAAAAAATAAGTATTAGGCTTGAACGATTCACCGTTTCAGAATCTACTGCATTCTGGGTAATATTTTCAAAAGTGAACACCAAAAGCTTGTGATTGGTTAAAAATGTCCTAAACAATGGGAATTCAACCAATGACGTGACATCATTTTCATTTTGGGGGTATGAACAATTGAATTACCCATAGTCCTTTAGTTTTTGAAACAGTCTATTGTACATAACTTGGTTAATTAAGAATGCAATGATGCCATTATGTACCTCCAATAAAGCAAAGAACAGCATCCTATCAGCAGCAATATCATGAAATAAAAAAGGTAAAATTGATGCACGGAACTATAAACCCTTTTCGGTCCCCTTTAATGAGAATAATTTGGGTATTAATTAGTGGCTTCAAATTTTTTGTCAGGTTGCACAAAGGGCAAAGCTGGCTTAAAGTCTGGTGAATACTCGAGGTGGAAAGTTGATATCTAATTTATGAACAAGTATCAACTCCACCTACAGTTTTTAACCCAGGTTCCTAAAATTGACAGAATAATTGCACATTTTTTTAGGTTGTGCGCGTACTATTTAATATTGAATTGTTTAAGAAATCATTTACCATTTATCAGACTTGAGAACTATTTTCAGCTTTATTATACTCAGTACTGCCAGAAGGGGGTATACCGTTTTTCCCCAGTCTGTGTCTCCCTTGAAATTTCTGTCACATTTTTATCAGAATCTACAAATTGGCACTGATCATGAAATTTTTGTATCACAGTTATTGTGAGCATAGATTTTCATATTCATCACACATCAACTTCCTGTTCACTGAATACTTGTTTATTCTTACACATAATGGCCATGTATGAAAACAATATTAAAGGTGAAAACCATGAAAGAGTTTCTCATGATTTGACCAGGCCAAATACCTGATGTTTCAACAACATATTGCAACAACCTTTTTATGTCTGTAAACACTGTTAGACAATCAGACGGGCTCAAAACAAGTGGTGACCCTGATGAAAATCTGCAGCTCAGGACCGTAAGGTTTGGGTTTTTTTTTTTCCGAACTCTGCATAATATTGATGATTCTGACAAAACATTGAATGCTGGTAAAAATAACCAATTTCATAAGTGATTTAAAACATCAAAATTTCAGAGTTTCAAATTTTTGTGGATTGAGGAAAACTGGAATTTTCATGGGTATTTTTAGAATTTGGTGGTTTTGCCAAAGTCTGCATATATTCCTATATAAATAAGGAGAAGTGGTATGAGTGCCAAACAAGACAACTCTCCTGCGAGCTCTCTCACAAACAAACAACCCTTAATTGTAAAATGTAAGGGTATACACCACAAGTACGGGGACACATTCTACTGCATCCACACAGCGCTAGCAACAAACCCTGCAGTCAACATAAATAAGAAGATGTGGTATGAGTGCCAATGAGACAACTCTCAACCATTTGTAATATGTTGCACATTTGAATTCTTGGTTCCTCTGTACTCCTGAAATCCACAAAAATTGATATTTAACGAATAATGATGAATCCACAGTATAACTTAGAGTTACAATAAAAAGTATCAACATTTAGCTTGGGCTATTCATGTTAGCATGAATTATTGTAACCATTGTCATTATACGACCGCAAAAAAAAAATTTTTTTTTGGGGGGGGGGTCAATACACAACAGCATAGTGTATTTCACAAAAGCAAAAAATTGAATATAAATTCAATAAATAACCATTTTTAAGTTCTTTGACTACAGTTTATATTCGGTGTCAAAAACCATATTATGTATCAAGTGCGAATATTGTGTCCATTTTCACTCCAACTGCTCAGGGTTGGACCTCTGCGGTCATATCCAGCTGCACTCAGCAAAGCATTTTATTTTTATATTGTAAAAGTAGTCTTTTTGAATATCTATTTTTAGTCATACCAATAAGATCAACATCACAAGAACAACAAGCTAATCCTCAAGCATCAGTAAGTGGAGCAGAAGGATTTACTGCTTCACCAACTACTGCAAATGGTATTGATATTCAGATTGCAGTCAATAATGACAGTCACAAGGTCGTTGCAAATACTCCTTATGGCGAATACCCAGACATGAGAGAAAATAATAGGGAAGATGATACCAATTCTACGCTGGGTACTCCACCAAGTATGGTAAGACAGCAACCCTCACTCACCACAAATCAGGAATCTCCACAAACTGAGGAAATAAATCTGGTAGATAACATTGGACAACAACCAAACTTTCATCAAACGGCATCAGGAAATATGTTGGCTGCACCAGTCTCTGACAATAGTGGAGAGTCGGCGAGTAACCAGTCTTCATTACAGCAAGAAACAGATAATGTACCAGTATGTGTATAGTCATAATATTAACTACATGAATTTTAACTTTGTTATTTTTTTACCGGTATTATCAAGGTCTTGTTATGTCAAATCAATCTGATAACTAATAACCAGTGGATGATTTTAAAAATAAGTTGTGATAAAGAAAAGAATTTGTCCATAAAGAATGCATCAGCTATAGTAATAGTATACTTCTATTGTCTTGCCTCAACAAAGTCATGAAGGCAAGACTTATGGGTGCTGTTTCCAGCAGTGTCATCAATTTGTTAAAGTTTGTGATTAGGTCATTTTAAGGGAAACCACGTAAGTCAATGTTAAGTTTGGTGGTTTGGTTAGTTTCTCAGATACCATAAGCAGTGGTAAACCCTTTATCTTAAAGACTCTCAACATTAACTAAATCATGATCAGGAAAGCGACACATTTCTGTGTTTTAACTCTTGTTATGTTGTGAATACTAAATTTTAAAACAAATATCTCTTGACACACTTTTGACACAATGTTCAACAACACTGAACGAAAAAGTGAAAATAAAATACTTTTGGACATAAAATAATGTTTCTTTTTTTATGTTGTAGCAAGCACCAGACAGTTTCCATTGAAGAATTATAAAACTAAACAGACAATAATTGATATATTATACTAGTGCAAATGTTAACGTTGGACTTTAAATTTTAAGTGTACAGTAGATTTTTCTGATTTCTCAATAAATGCAGATTAATTGAATGGGTAACTGGGTTTTTTCTCACCTTGGAGACACCAGGGATGCTAATTAGAGCGCAATAAACTATTTGTTTAAAGTTAGATGACCTGGATACTTCATATCTTGTATACAGGTGCCTTATGTTCTGAAGTTTCCATCTGTAATATATCCATTGTCCTTTATCTCGTTTTCAGTGTTCTTTTGATCAAAGTTAAGTCTTCGTGGTAAGGTCCATTTTGTTAGCTATTTTAAAATAATCATGACAGCAAAATTGAATTAGGCATAGCTTACAATATCATGTGTCAGAATCATCATAATACAATAATATGGAATTATATGAAATGGCCAGTGTGTTATATTAATTTGGTTAAGTATAGTGACTTTATTGCTAAAGGCTATTCCATTATTCAATGTGCAAAGGGGGGTGTACTTTTTCTGAAAGACCCATCTGGCTACAATATAAAATTTCCAGTATTCAATATAATTCTTTAAAATTGGATTTATTTTGGGATATTTACAAATACCCTCTACCTCTTTACTCTAGTGCCTACTGATACTGTTATGAATATTTTGTTAATGGTATATGTAGTACTGTAAATTCACAAATTATTGCGTGCATTTATTATTGCGATTTTGTCATTTTAGCCTAAAATTTAATTTTTGCGATATTGAGAAAAATCCTGTTTAATTCATATAAAAAATTTCAAAATGCGAGTTTAAATTTTTGCGAATATAACCCTGTCACATTTTTTGCAATAATAAAAACATCGCAATAATTTCTGAATTTACAGTAGTTTATTTTAATGTTATTTGGTTTTGATGTTTTTGTGTGGACCACTTCTTTAATCCTGTAAATATCAAGTTCTAAAATAACCAAAATTCATGCCAGCTATTATCATCACTTAGCTGAATAGCTTGAGGGAAAATTACTCTTATATGACATTTTGAACAAGAAGTTTTACTGACTTGCTATTTGATACAAAGTCCAGACTGTATATTTTGTGACATGCATACTCTACAACTATAAAGGGATAGTGTTACCAGCTAAGTGACACATGGGGTCTCAACCTACAAATTTGGGTACAGATGTCCTTCTGGGGTTTAAAAAACACCCCCATTCATATATTGATTCATGTGAAAATCCCTACCCATTTATATATTTCATAGGAAAATCACAACCCATTTATATATATTTGCGAGCTATCATTACATCTTATTTCAATGAAATGTTAACCATATAGAGTCTGTGATTTATTGTCGAGCCTGCGACTTTTGTCGCAGAAAGCTCGACATAGGGATAGTGATCCGGCGGCGGCGGCGGCGGCGGCGGCTACGGCGGCGGCGGCGTTAGCTAACTTCTTAAAAGCTTTATATTTTAGAAGGTGGAAGGTCTGGATGCTTCATACTTTGTATATGGATGCCTCATGTTACGAAGTTTCCGTCAGTCACATGTCCAATGTCCTTGACCTCATTTTCATGGTTCAGTGACTACTTGAAAAAAAAGTTAAGATTTTTTGTAATGTTAGATTCTCTCTTATTATAAGTAATAGGATAACTCTATTTGGTATGTGCGTACCTTGCAAGGTCCTCATGCCCGTCAGACAGTTTTCACTTGACCTCGACCTCATTTCATGGATCAGTGAACAAGGTTAAGTTTTGGTGGTCAAGTCCATATCTCAGATACTATAAGCAATAGGTCTAGTATATTCGGTGTATGGAAGGACTGTAAGGTGTACATGTCCAACTGGCAGGTGTCATCTGACCTTGACCTCATTTTCATGGTTCAGTGGTTATAGTTAAGTTTTTGTGTTTTGGTCTGTTTTTCCTATACTGTATGCCATAGGTCTACTATATTTGGTGTATGGAATGATTGTAAGGTGTACATGTCTAGCGGGCAGGTGTCATCTAACCTTGACCTCATTTTCATGGTTCAGTGGTCAAAGTTAAGTTTTTGAGTTTTGGTCTTTTTTTCTAATACTATATGCAATAGTTCAACTATATTTGGTATGTGCGTACCTTGCAAGGTCCTCATGCCCGTCAGACAGTTTTCACTTGACCTCGACCTCATTTCATGGATCAGTGAACAAGGTTAAGTTTTGGTGGTCAAGTCCATATCTCAGATACTATAAGCAATAGGTCTAGTATATTCGGTGTATGGAAGGACTGTAAGGTGTACATGTCCAACTGGCAGGTGTCATCTGACCTTGACCTCATTTTCATGGTTTAGTGGTTATAGTTAAGTTTTTGTGTTTTGGTCTGTTTTTCTTATACTGTATGCAATAGGCCTACTATAGTTGGTGTATGGAATGATTGTAAGGTGTACATGTCTAGCGGGCAGGTGTCATCTGACCTTGACCTCATTTTCATGGTTCAGTGGTCAAAGTTAAGTTTTTGAGTTTTGGTCTTTTTCTCTAATACTATATGCAATAGTTCAACTATATTTGGTGTATGGAAATATTTTATGATCTATTTGTCAGTCACACAGTTTTTTTTTTACCTTGACCTCATTTTCAAGGTTCATTGCTCAGTGTTAAGTTTTTGTGTTTTGGTCTGTTTTTCTTAAACTAAAAGCAATAGGTCAACTATATTTGTTGTATGGAAGAATTGTTAGCTGTACATGCCTGTCTAGCATGGTTCATCTGACCTTGACCTCATTTTCATGGTTCATTGGTCAACGTTTAGTTAACTTGGTTAATAATAAGTTTATGTGACAGTTGTCATAAAGCTTTATATTTAGGACTATCAACATAATATCAATGATAAGTAAAGAAGGCGAGACATTTCAGTGTGTGCACTCTTGTATTACAAGATATAAAGATCAGAACACAGTTTTTACAGACATTTTAACAGAAGATGATCATGTATGATCAATTGACATATAAATTCCTACTTATCGATATATTACCTCATGTGAAATTGCACCCTATTGATATATTTGACATTCCAAAAAAAAAATGGCAAGTATGTGTATACCTTTATATAGGAAGAGACCCCCGTGCTAGATGAGCCATTATTGATTCTGGGAGCCTGTAATTTATTCTCATCATTTGTGTATATCTGTTCCTTTTAAAGTGCTTTAATTATTATTGCTTGTTTGCTTGTTTGTTACTTTTTTTAAGTGCTAAGCATGTGATGTATATTTTTTATTATTATATTTAATTTTAATGTAAATGTTCAGCTATTTATAAGATATTTAGCTGGTATTTGTATGATAATTGCATGCTAGTTTCAGATCACATATGAGTTTTGTTCTGACTGACATATATACTCTTGTCCTAAATATTTATAACCGGTTTTTCCCTCTGTTGACATCCTTCCTTCAAGATTTAGTTACTGTATATCAGAAATTTTTATGTGTATCTAATTTTAGCAGTAGAGCTTTTACTGCAAAATTAACCCTTCATTGAATCTCATTGTACAAGGCCATGAAATGTGAATAAGGAACACAGCCAAGATTTATCTGCCCCAACTAAGACCCAAACTGCAAAAATAGCCTACATATACAGTATTATATAGCGCATAATATTTCGAACAGATTTAAAGGTTGTATATATTACTTCATCATAATGGTCAACTATTAGTTACTTTTTATTTTGATATATGGAAATATATTTTCAAAATTTGGAAAAGATTCATCTTTCAAAATGGTATTTTATTTAAAAATTAGATAAATGAAATTGATATAAAACCACTACGGCAATATGATCGAGTAGATTGTTGAATTTATTTTTAAGTTAATTAAAAGTTTTAATTAGTTACATGAAATACCTGTCAATCAAATAGTTTCATTACAAAACTCATTAATTGATTGGCAGTTTTGTTATTGAAGACCATTTTATCAGAATTACATTACATTACACTGGCACAGGTGATTGAAAATATTTTCAGGTAGGATCATTAATACTGAATTTTGTATAATTTCCATAGGGGTAATTATAACCCAAAAGGAAACAGTACTGGTGGTATTGGGTGCTATGTCAGTGTCTTGTTGTCTTAATTCATGAATATATGTTGATATATATTTTTTTGTGAATGGTATTTTTGTAATATTTGTACATATGTATATTTTCTAAACCTTATGAAATGCATTCAAAGTTATTCCTCTAAGGTTTACTTATTAGCACAAACACATTATATATAATTATTAAGAGTCATGTGATACATGAGGGTCTGAATGGGGTTTACTAAATATAGAATAATGGGCTTAATTGGCAGAATAAATGTAAAGAATAGAGAATAATGGGGTGCTGAAATATAAAGAATTGAGAATAAAATATAAAGAATAGAGAAAAATAGGCAAAAAAAGTAAGGAATAGAAAATAATGGGGTGCTGAAATATAAAGAATAGAAAATAATGGGGTGCTGAAATATAAAGGATAGAGAAAAATAGGCTAAAAAAGTAAAGAATAGAGAATAATGGGGTGCTAAAATATAAAGAATAGAAAATAAAATATAAAGAATAGAGAAAAATAGGCAAAAAAAGTAAGGAACAGAAAATAATGGGGTGCTAAAATATAAAGAATAGAGAAAATTGGTAAAAAAAAATTTACAGAATAAAGAAATGAAGGACCCCCATCCAGACCCTCATACTCAATGTAGTCAGTTTTGATGGTCTTTCACAGTATTATATCAAGTCATTTAACAATTGTGATTAAATGTTTTTTCTATTTTTTTCACTCATGTTAAATAGAATGTTTAGCTGTTACGTTAAGTTAAGTAGTGCTGAATGTTTTTATATAAGCATCAAGTTACAGTTTATTAGGTATTAAAGATATGTAATGAAATTCTTTGTTATGTCATTTATATAAGGATTTGTCTCTTGGATGCTTACTGTCTTGCCTGGGACATTAATCTTAGCTATCCTAGATAGTGTCGTCTGTGTCAACACCATTTAGGTTCAGTCTTTGGTTAAAATCAAACCTGGGACCCATAGATATTCATGTGTTAGTCCCACATCAAACCTTCATGGAATTTTGTGAAATTTAAACAGAATCTTCTTCATAATCCAGAAAAAGCATCTGATGAAGAAAAAAATAATTGTCTTTTTCCTATGGAATGTCATTTCTTAAGGTATTATTCAGAAACAATCTAGGTTTTAAAAAATTTTAATTATCAAATCTTGGAACTTCTGGAAACTTTTACAGAAGCTTCTTCATAATCAAGAGATGACATCTAGAGTATAATTTTGATTATTGTTCCAGTTTTCATATTTTTACTGATAATTGAACTTAAATTTTTGGCACACATCATACTTTCAACTAACGGCAGTAGTCCCACGCAAGAGACATGGTTCCATGTAATACTGTACCAATATTTTTCTGTAGAAATACCATATCAGACATTTTTTAGACCAGTATTTGTGTTTTTTTGTATAACTGCTTTTATTTGGCAATCATGAATATTTTGTTTTCCATGTATATTTTTTAGCAAACAGGAAACTTTTTAACAATTTATTTTTGGAAATGAGAAACGTTTTATAACTTATTTTAAGTACCTCTGGCATCTACATCAGTGTATATTCACTCATTGGCAGCTATTTCTCAGAATTTATTAACATACAACCTTATAATTTTGCAAAGTCATTTTTGAAAGACTGACTATGTACCATAAGATGAATGTCACATGACCTATATTTCAGGGTACAGTAGCTTTGAAAATTTAAATACTTGCATTATAAGTGTTTCATCCTAGCTCAGTTCTATTATAATCCTAAGTAAGAAAGGGAAAAAAATGTGTACAACTCATATATGGTTCAGGTGAAACTGCTATAAAGTTTTGAAGATATTTGGATGAATGAAATATGGAATTGAATTTTTGGTTTCTCTCCTTTAATTGATAGTTTTTGAAATTAACAATAATATGCTTTGTTTAAGCAAGACCTGATCCCTGATAGTACTAAAAATAAATTATTTTTAAAACATGTTTTAAATTTATGACTAAAATGAAATATGATGGGTAGACATGAAAGAATATTTCTTGAAAAAGGATCATATACTGTTTTTAAGAGAACATTATGCTTATGATACCATGCATATTTATATCTAGGATCTCTGGTGAATTAAAAAAAAGGTTGTCTGATATGGTATTGGCATTAACAGATGTAAATATTAAATTAGAATTACATATAGTTATAGGAAGGCTATTTTATAAAAAGTTTTTATTTAGAATTCAATGACTGTATTTGTAATATAATGAAATCTTAAGATGTTTCATTACAGTATTATGAATCTTTGGAAAACTATGAATATTGCTGCTTATAAATCAGAAATCTTCAGTAGTTAAAATAAATTAGTTATACCATTTTTTGTCGAGCCTGCGACTTTTGTCGCAGAAAGCTCGACATAGGGATAGCGATCCGGCGGCGGCGGCGGTGGCGTTAGCTAACTTCTTAAAAGCTTTATATTTTAGAAGATGGAAGACCTGGATGCTTCATACTTTGTATATGGATGCCTCATGTTACGAAGTTTCCGTCAGTCACATGTCCAATGTCCTTGACCTCATTTTCATGGTTCAGTGACTACTTGAAAAAAAAGTTCAGATTTTTTGTAATGTTAAATTCTCTCTTATTATAAGTAATAGGATAACTATATTTGGTATGTGCGTACCTTGCAAGGTCCTCATGCCCGTCAGACAGTTTTCACTTGACCTCGACCTCATTTCATGGATCAGTGAACAAGGTTAAGTTTTCGTGGTCAAGTCCATATCTCAGATACTATAAGCAATAGGTCTAGTATATTCGGTGTATGGAAGGACTGTAAGGTGTACATGTCCAACTGGCAGGTGTCATCTGACCTTGACCTCATTTTCATGGTTCAGTGGTTATAGTTAAGTTTTTGTGTTTTGGTCTGTTTTTCTTATACTGTATGCAATAGGTCTACTATATTTGGTGTATGGAATGATTGTAAGGTGTACATGTCTAGCTGGCAGGTGTCATCTGACCTTGACCTCATTTTCATGGTTCAGTGGTCAAAGTTAAGTTTTTGAGTTTTGGTCTTTCTTTCTAATACTGCATGCAATAGGTCAGCTATATTTGGTGTATGGAATGATTGTAAGGTGTACATGTCTAGCTGGCAGGTGTCATCTTACCTTGACCTCATTTTCATGGTTCAGTGGTCAAAGTTAAGTTTTTGAGTTTTGGTCTTTTTTTCTAATACTATATGCAATAGTTCAACTATATTTGGTGTATGGAAATATTTTATGATCTATATGTCAGTTACGCAGGTTTTATTTGACCTTGACCTCATTTTCAAGGTTCATTGCTCAGTGTTAAGTTTTTGTGTTTTCGTCTGTTTTTCTTAAACTATAAGCAATAGGTCAACTATATTTGTTGTATGGAAGAATTGTTAGCTGTACATGCCTGCCTAGCATGGTTCATCTGACCTTGACCTCATTTTCATGGTTCATTGGTCAATGTTTAGTTTACTTGGTTAATGTTAAGTTTATGTGACAGTTGTAATAAAGCTTTATATTTAGGACTATCAACATAATATCAATGATTAGTAAAGAAGGCGAGACATTTCAGCGTGTGCACTCTTGTGCTATTATTTATTTACAAAATATCACATAACATACATTGTAATTTATATAAGCCTCTTTAGTTTGCACTAGCTGTTTGTGTCTTTGGATAGTACCAATATAAAAATAAGAAGATGTGGAATGACTGCCAATGATACAACTCTCTTCAAGAGACCAAATGACACAGAAAGGAACAACTATAGGTCACCGTACGGCCTTCAACAATGAGCAAAGCCCATACCGCATAGTCAGCTATAAAAGGCCCCAAAACGAAATGACCAAGTCTGTCCTAGATGTTATTTTAATTTTCTGAATCCCAAATCAAATAAACAATGACACTTATATTGTAATGAGACTCTTCCAAAATATTCAATCTGGATGAATAATTTGCTGGTTGAGAAAACTTAATTACAAATACAAATCAAGGAGGGTTGATAAGATAGAAGAGAGGCGGAAGATACAAAAGGTATAGTCAAACTCATAAGTCAAAAACGAACTAACAATGATGTGGAAAAAAACAAAAAAAAAATGACCAAAAGACAAACAACAGTCTACTATTAAACACAACACAGAAAACTGAGCAACACACACACCACCAAAAACCAGGGGTTCAATACAATTTTTCTAGGTAAAAAAACATCCAAAAATACAAAAGACCATAGCTTTATGTTGTTTTAATTTAAAGAAATAATCATTAAATCTTTAATTTAAACATTTCAGGGGCAATAACTCCTATGAGATGTTATAAGATTGTTTAGGGCCAAGTGAACCATAACTTCATCTCGATAACCTGAACACTTTGCAACAATCCTTTCAAATCTATATGTTACACTTTCAGAGGAGATGGAATAACAAGGATAAGTCAAAATTCAGAACATGACCTTTACCTAAATTTTATAGTTATGACCCAAGGTTTTCAAATCAAAAGACCTTAGGTGCTTACGGTTCACTGTTAATGAGTTGTACCAAAATACAGCTAAATATAATTAAAATAGCTAAGTGGAATAATTCCTATAAGATGTCTCTGATGGCTTCTGTCAACATTAACCAAATCATCCTCAGGATATAACAACAGTTCATAAAAATATGTTTGTTGAAATAGTTTGATTACAGAGGAGACAAAAAAAAAACAGTGTTTGGTTTAACAGGGCTAATAAATATTAAACATCTAATATCTTATAGACATGATGAAAAAACAAAAGAATCATTTAAGAGAGAAAAAAAATGGCAGAGGAAAAAAGAACAAATAATCAGGACTTCACATAACCTTTGGAGTTAAAAAATTTAAAACATGTCAGACTGATACAAAATTTGCTTATTACACATTGTTGATCTGAAATGTATATTAAATTGTCATTAGGGGCAATAACTCCTTTACGATGTCATCTGATCATTTTGGTAGGAATAGAAACTGGGTATATCTTGGCATCCTTAGTATTTTTGCCGTATGAGATTTCCTTTACCTATTATTATTAAGTTTTCAAGATATAAGACACTTACTTTTGTTTTGCCCATATGTTCTATTTTTAGCCATGTTGGTAGGTTGTTTTGTAGAAAAAAATAAAATTTGTATACAAGATACCAATGGATCATTTAAGCTTAGTGGGGTTGAATTGGTTTAATGGTTATAGAAGAGATCTTACATAATTTATATCAGAATATGACATAGGACAATGGAACATAATGACAGACACCAAGGTGATGGCTTTAGCTCACATGGCCCATAGGACAAGGTGATCAAAAATTAGATCAAGACATAAGTCAGATAGAAAAATACTGTTTAAGCAAATTCACATACCAAATATTGTTGATCTATCTTGAATAGTAACTAAGAAACAGACAAATCTTAAAAACTTAAGTAATGACTAAATCTAGACCATATGATGTAATACTGATTGACTATTCACAATACCAAATATTGTTGACCGGTCTTGCATAGTCTTTAATGGTAACCAAATTAGTACATACAAACTTTATCCACAACTTAACTATATTTAATGCCACACATTTGGGAATATCACCTTGTAAACACACTAGATACCATTTTTATGATAATTTACGAAACTGTTATTGATGGGGATATTGCTGACCAGAACCTCAGCTTGATTACCAGTGTGTGATTATTGTAGTTGTCTTAAAATCAAACTACTGATCAAATAATTTTTATGATTTCATTAATTCTAAAAAAATTAACAGATTGTTTGTATGTATTTTCTACTTGGTTATGAATCTGATTAAAATATGTATACAAGAAAAAAAAATTGCAGAAAAGAAAACAAACCTTAGTACAAATGACAGATTATGGATGTTTGCTTATCTTGCTTATGACATTTTGTCAGATATTCAGAATCCTTTGGTTTTATTCACGTGGTGCCATTAAAAATATTTTACCTGCTTACCCCTACTTTTCTTTTCATAATTTTTTTGCATATAGTTTTAAAAGCCATTTTTGAAAATCTTACAAAATCCTGGGTTCTTTTACATAGTTTTTGAAAGAAAAAAGGTGCCAAAGTTAAATGCATGAATAATCTATATATATATACTATCAATTTATAAGAGTCTTTTAAAAATCTTGTTATTTTGAAACAGAGTAGCGAACATCCTTAACAATTATTCTTGTTGTTCTCTGTATTGAGTAAGGTTTTCAATACTTGCAGTAAACGCTTCAATCATAGGACTACTATCAAATATTTATGAAAGTTTAATGAAGAAGTAGAAAGCTGTTTTGTAGATGTATTCAACAGAAAAGTTGTGAACATTTGACCTATTGTGCGTGTTATCAAAAATTAACAGAGGCACATTCAAAGTAAACAAGGGTAAAACTCAATGCCCCCCTCCGCTTCGGCGGGGGCATACAAATGTTGACTTTGATGTAAAATATGATTTGGCAAACTGAAAATTTTAAACACAAATAATAAGATGATAGACTGAAGGACAAAGAAATCCATTACATCATCTATTGTTGGATCATAACATAGGGTCTGGATGGGGGTCCTTCATTTCTTTAGTCTTTAATTTTTTAGAACACTTTTCTTTATTTATTTTGCCTATTATTCCCTATTCTTTATATTTTAGCACCCCATTATTTTCTATTCTTGATTCCCCCCCCCCCCCCCTATTTTTCTCTATTCATAATTTTTTTTCCTATTTTTCTCTATTCTTTTTTTGTTTGTTTGTCCTTTATTCTGCACTCTTTGTTCGTTATTCTTTATTCTGTAAACCTTATCCAGTCCATCATAACAATACATAAATACAATTGCATGAAATATTTATTTTTTTTCTTTATCTAGTACAGGAGCTGGTTCTATATTTAGTTCATTTTGCAAGTCTGTCAGATTTTGTTCCCAGTGTTTCTCCCAATATACTGCCATCAAGAACTTGGAATTAGTTCCACATCTGATGGCCCAGGGTAAGTATGTGCTCAAATATTGCTGTCTATTTCTGAAATGAAAAAAAGATACCAAATATTTTTTGTAAATAAAAAAGATACTAGAAGTTATGTGTACATAGATTATGTACATAGATTATGTACAAATTTTGCATAAAAAATAACAAAATTTTAATATTGTACGGATAACAATAAATCTTTTGTTCAAAATAAAGATTTGTATCATGGAAGTTAACTTGTTTGTTACCGCTAAAACATGGCTTAACCTGATCATTTAGAAGTTCCGAGTGAGCTAATTCTGGCTAATATTTCATTTCAAATTAAACATTTCCTAAATAAATGAGTAGTATTTAATTCATGACAATCTATATTCGAGGCATTTTGATTTAGAATGTTACTTGTCTCAATACATTGGTCTATGTTTATTAATACAAAGTATATATTTAACTTACACAGGCCCCAATCTCAAAGGTCCAAAAAATGCCCCTAGTGCACACATTGGCAGTCCTGTTTGAATAGCTTCCACCCATTTCACTGCTACTTCTCCTAGCATATGAGGAGGCATTCCCAGTACAGAGTGAAATAAATCATGTGTCTGTCTATACCGTAACATAACATATTTTAATTCTGGATCATCTACAAAATGTACAGGAAGTCTTGCATCTGGGGAGAAACCCTGAAATAAACAGTTTCCTTGTTTAAGTTTAACATTTCAAAATCAAATGAGAAATCTCATAAAGAATACGAGATATCTTATATACCTTATAAAGGTTATAAGATATCTTATTTATTTAAAAAGATATCTTATTTACTTTATACAATATCTTATTAAGTTTACAAGATATCTGTTAAAATAAATAAGATATCCTTTTAGCTAGATATCTTTATATACTGTTTAATAAGATATCTTATTAAATATATACATGATATAAGATATCTTATTTATTTAAAAAGATATTTTATTTAGTTTAAATGATATCTTTTCAACTTTTTAAGGTATCTTGATTCCTTTTCCACAGTTGGCTATACTATCATGACTATAGGTCCTTTTTCAATTGATCTGCTCCTCATCATTTGTTTTAAATTTTGGATATTCAAATATTTTGGCCTCAAGCATCACTGTAGAGACATTAATGGGTGAAATGCTCATCTGGTGCATTAGAACTGTTCCGGTTTATGTTATTGAAAATGGAATAAATATAAAAGCGGCTTGCCATAGATATACCAATACTATTTGTGGGATATGCGAGCTTAAAAAGATCTCCATTACTATTTCAATTTCATGTCTTTAAGATTTCAAGAGACATGCATAAATGCTATGTTATCATGATGAATTAACTATTGTCTTGTGGATTATATATATTGCTAGACAAATTCATGAAGTCCTCTAGACATTTAGATTTATTCAGAAGTTACTAAAATTGATTGATTGTTAGTGTTTAACACCACGTTCAGCACTGTTGGCTATATCGTGGCTGTCAAGTTTTTATTGGTGGAGCGTGCCAGAGTGCCCTGAGAGAACCACACACCTTTGGTAGGAAAACTAACCTTGTTTTTTAAAATTGGAGCCAAACACAACTGCTGAGTGCAACGTTCAAACTCACAACCTGGG